GAAATGAAAGTGTAGTACAGAAGTGAAAAGTGCATTTAAGACAATCGGAAGAAAATCCTTGAAAAGGGGGACACCCGGGGGGACAGATTTCGCGGGGGACAAATCTTTATATGTGGGATTGTCCCCCACATTCATACGTGATGAAAAAAGTTTCGAAAAAAAAACTTCTCTTCAAGGCGAAAAATAACTTACACTGTTAGCCTGTAGACCAAAACTAGCACCAAAAGGACGTTTTCGTATGAAGGCATATCTCTGTTCTCTTTTTTGATCGAAAATTTCTATTTGACAAGAATTAGGGTCTGATCCTAGATAGAATGCACCGCATAGTTTTTGGAAAAGACGAAAAAAGTTTTTTCGATTCAACCACAGACACCTGGAGGATGGTACGGGAACTTCGAAAACTTTTTTCAGATAACCGCCCAAGAGCCATTTATCTCTATAGGGCTTGGGATGTTGATCACAATTGTGTGGTCAAACATCGAAAATCAAGTGTAACCTGGTAGAACAATGTCGACACTTTGGTTGACCCATATGAGAGTCCGTGAAGAGTATGTGACCTTAAAGTCCACCTGAAACCGGCTTGGATAAGCCTGAAATAGTTTAGTTAGACGTAGAACTTCGTGCTCTATCCGATGATGACAGAATCAGGCCTACATACATATTTCATCTTCATGAAATTATCACATGCTGGGCCTACCTGGATTATCTAGTGCACTGTATCTGGTTGTATCTGGCAGTTTCAAAAACGTGAAAGAGATGAATACAGTTGAAAAATAGTCAAAAAAACGCTTACACCGTATCACATTGTGGCTCATAAAACAGTACCTCTTCTCCATCGGAACTTCTAAGTAGGTATACTTTGTAGAATTTTTCAAGCTCTATCTGTAGCACAAATAATATTTATGTCCCCGGTTGATGCTGTGGCGTGGTACTCAGAATACATTAAAATTGACATATTTTAATTTTCATGATTTTGGTCCTCAATTGACTTCAGAGAACAAGCATTAACATATTAAGCGATCTCAAATTTTCCATTTGTAGAAAAAAAATGTTCTCCATCTTTTGAGATATTACTCGGCTCAATGCGTTGAATAGTTTCCGAGATATTGTCAAAATACCGAAAATTGTCGGTATATAGGTGTCCGATCGACCCGCTCTAAGTGTTTTTTTCTCTCATTTCTCAGAATTATGTCTGATCTGGCAAAAGTTATGTTTTTGCCGGTAACTTTGTTCGGGCTTTCTTCTGAGAACATAAAAAGGGTATGTCAACATTTTTCTCAGGACCGTCCCTTAAACGAAAATGTATTGCTTACTCACTGGATGCACTTTTACCTCTCGGACTTTTAACTCTCGGAGCTTAAAAAGTCTTCGACGACCTTGATTGATGACGAACAAGAGTTTACACTCCACCAAGTCAACAATGTATCCTTCTTATAATCCTTGCTAACGTCGCTCGACACACCTCGCCAACCACATCCCCTTACAGTACGTAATTTGTAATTATGTATATCTTTCCTCTCTGGTCATATCATCATCATCTCACCTGAAGAAGGAGTACTGTAGTACTCCCAAACGTCGCAAAATAACAATAGATTATATGAGTAAAAACATATAATATATCCTAACATATTTTTACTAGGTATTCGATAAAAACATCTTGCATCTACTACGCTAATTTCATTTTTCGTTAAGAAACTTTCACATTGACTAGTAAATTAATAATTATCGAAACCTATGAACATGTACTCCTCCGCTGTCATTCATTCATACATCGATCGATAGAGGATATCGAGGTTGTAAAAAGGAACTACTAGACTGTTGAAACTTTCGTAAATGACATGGTTTTTTGATCGACACACACAGAAAACTAATCGGAATTATATAACTTCAATGTTTTGTAGCTCTGGTTTTCAAGGAGGTCTCTAGAGACCTTAGCATCTACAGCTTGAGAAATCTCTTTTGCTTTCATAAACGAAATTAGACTACAAAACCATGCCATCTATGAAAGTTTCAACAGTTCTGGTAGAAATCTAACGATTTGGGAAGCCATTATATTGTGAGCCTATGAAAGAGCTAATCTATGGAAAATTTAAAAGTCAATAACTCGGAAAAGGAATGAGTTGTAAAGATGAAACTTTGTATGAATATCACAGATATATAGAAGAGTCATAGAAAGAAACTTGAGCTCTTAACGACTTTTCGGGACGGAGATATGAATTTTTCTATTTTCTTTATTTTTCGCTGGGAAAAACAGAAAAATGCCCCTATATTTTGAAGGAAAAGTCATCGACCCGAATCCTTTTTACTACCTCGATATCCTCTATCGATCGACGTATGAATGAATGAAAGCGGAGGGGTACATGTCCATAGGTTTCCTCGTCAGTCTTAGCCGTAATCGGTATTGCGAAGCGACCACTGAGCAACAGACATGTCTACCATGCAGGCCCGTAGCAAGAATTTTTGCGAAAGCGGGCGATCGACTCGAAGTCTTATCAATTAGCAACTTTTTCTGACGGGATTCAGTAGAAAAAATTCATTTTTTCAAAAGTCAAGTGGGAGACCGGTCCCTCAATCCCTCCCCTCCTCTGGCTACGGCTCTGCTGCCATGTTCTAGATACAGCAACTTGTCGCAAATAAGCAAGTGTACTATTCCGCTATACTGAGTTTTGCAAAAAGTATCGCTGATAGACATTTCGCGGATCAAGGGTTTATATCGGAGAATAAGTTATAGATTTTTCTAGTTTGTATCCATGCACAAAATATTCTGGAAATGGAACATTGCAAAGACTGATCGAAGCCATGGCTGAGCTTCGTTTTTTATCGAAGTTTTCCTCAGCTTTCACAAATGTTGCGATTTACGCTATACATAACAATTTTTCTCTATCGAGTATTGCAGACAATCATTTGATAGGATATCATTCTATTACATTGTCTTTCGTTTATTGAAACTTTTAAAATTACCTAAACATAATAAACATCCGCACGAAGAAGAAAAAGACAAGAACCAAACAAACAAAAAGCAAAGTCGTTTTGCTCGATGACATCATTATTACTAAACGTGTTTATATTAAGTATGCTTATGCTCACACGCCATTATAGATTTCGAAGAGAAAAAGACAACAATAGAAGAACTAGCAAGCGGTAAAAATAAAAACGACAGCGACAAACGAGATTTTAATTTTTGAAAATCAAAGAAATTCTAACCATTCGTTGAATAATCTTAGGTAAATAAAGATTGAAAAACGAGAATTACTCGGTGAAAAAGAAAACGCAAGATGAACGAATAAATCACATATATGCATGCGTATATCTAAAGATACGATTCCAAAGAGAGTTGTTTTAACGTTGAGATAAGATGGTCTGTGGTCCACTTCAACGGGTAAAATTAGAAAAAAATAAGTAAGCAAGAAACAAGCAAAAAAGATGGCAACAATGGTAATATTGATTGATAATAATAATAATAATAATAATAATAATAATAATAATAATAATAAATAAGCGAACAAAAGAACTATTTAGAAACTTATGTATTGGACATCATTAAATACACTAATACTAGAAAAACAAAACACATTATGTATAAAATAAAAACAAAAAGAAAACAAATATACACACATGTGTAAAAAACACTACAAATACACAAATGTCAACAGATGAATATTTTGAAATGTATTTCAGTTTTATTTATTTTTTGATAACAGAGAGACACTGGTGCGTATGAAGCACGCTTTAAAGAATGCAATCTGTCAGATAGTGAATAATAGGTTAACAGTATAATCAAAGTGGCTGAAAAAAAAAGCGCGCTTTTACGTGTTAGAGGCATATTACTGGGTTTCAAAGAGATTGCTTTCAACAAGAAAAACAGACTGGGACATCGCACATACTCAGATAAGTAGAGACCACAACTATCAACAGAAACATTCAAAAGTACTTCATTCACTCAAAAATGAGTGCTTGAAATCAGAAAGAAAATAATGACAACAGACTGAAGATCAATCGCGAGAAGTCATCATTCAATTGGTATTTTTTAGACACAATAGTGTTATTTAAAGGAAAACCGAAAACAAAAGATAGAACGAAACCGACACAAGCACTACTGACTATCGCGAGATTGACGATTCTGCCGCCTTTCTCGAGAACTATTATTATTATTATTATTGTTATTATTGACATTCATGTTCGTATTGTTACGATTATTTCGTGGTGGTTGTCCGTCAAATCTTCCTCCTGAATTTGGAACATTACTGGTGTACATTGCCGATCCATTTAGTCCAGCAAAAGACCCAAATACATCGTCATACATTGGATTATCAACTCCAATGCCGTTAGTCCTCATCACGGGACCAGATAACATATCACCACCACTTAATCCACCAAACGCACCATAATGATAATGATAAGCAGCCGCAGCTTGTAATTGTAAGGCTTGTGCTTGTTGTTGTTGTAACTGTCGTTGCTCTTTGGGAACCGCTTTTTTCACGTCAATTCGTCGTTGATCAATTGTGTGAGGACGGTCTAATATAATACGATCGACTGAATCCTTAAAAGAAATAAAATATGATGGATCTTATTCATAAGAAATTATACGATCATACGTACGTAGTCATCAAATTCCAAAAATCCAAATCCTCGGGTGTTTCCTGTTTTATCTTTCATAATAAAACAATCACAAATTTTTCCGTATTTATCAAAATATTCTTTCAACGTATCTTCCGTAATACCATCTCTTATACCGCCAATAAATATTTTCTTTACAGTTAAATGAACATCGTCATTCATTGCTTCTTCTCTGGGCATTGCACGTTTCGGATCTATTTGTCGTCCATCTAGATTATGTGGTCGTTGTGCCATAAAATCATCGATCATTGAAACATCGGCATAGGTCACAAATCCAAATCCACGCGACAAATTATTCTTATCCTTCATGACTACACAATCATTTATTTGACCAAATTTCTCTACATAACTTTTCAATGAATCATCAGTTGTCCTAGAAGGCACAATTGAGAAGACAAATAAAATCATAGTATCATGAACACTAAATAATAGTCTTACTTGTAAGATAAACCTCCAATAAATAGCTTTCGATGTTGTTCTGAATTTGGATCATTATTGGAATTACTGCGCCGATTTGACCTAAATTATAGCATTTAGAGAACTGGACTTTAAAGATCTAAGACTAGTGACAGAACTTGTGTAACTCAGCTGAACGCTGTAAGAGATTAAGAACAAAGAAAAAAAATCTGACATTTCAACTGTCCCTATGCACAGAAATATGTCTAACAAACTTAGGATAAAGTGATTCAAAACTAAAATATCTAACGTTAAATAAATAATACATTAATGAATAGTGATTGGTTGTTGCCATGCACCACAATTCATGTATCGATTTCTACACTTTGAGACTGAGGGTATAAGTCAGGACGAGTCCGAATCTATGGGTATATGTGTTTGGTGTTTGCTCATTTACCTTAGTCAAATTCATGTATTTGTGGCAGTCTAAAGTGTCAGATTTAAAAGCCAGCGTTGTAGTTGCGCACTATTTTTAGAATTATACTAATGAGATAAAAATAGATTGAATAATAGAAAATATACATTCTTTTATGCACGCTGTATTCTAGAATCTTTTTCTGCATAATATAAAATAGAGTCTGAGCTTATATTAGTGAGCTTTTTATGAAAAAATTGTTTCTTCTCTACTTACCGTGGTCGTTGACGTCCGTTTCTATAACCACTAAAATACCTTGATCGATTATTCATTCGATTGTTCATTGCTGTAGCACCACCACGACCCATAGGATTCATTTGAAAGTAATCGTATGGCATATAAGACGAATCGTCACCGCTAATGCTTTTCTTTCCACCGTTTTGTTGATTCGTTGATGATGTAGGTTGTCGACGGAAAAATGCTGAATTGGCCAATTCTGGCGGAAGAATAACAGAAGAAAATGGTGGCGGACCTTGTTGTCCAACATTTGACGCCATCAATGGCATTGGTTTGCCAGACATTTGTAAGGCATACGAAGGTGGTAAACAACCATAGGGCATAGACGGAGGAGGCATATTCATTGGATAACGAGCATCAAATGGACCATTACGAAAATAATAATCATTCATTCCCATTGCTATTCCGCTGTTACGTTGTGTTTGTTCGCGTGGGATTGCCTTTCTAACATCCAATTCTTTTCCGTTGATAGAATGTGGTTTATCTAATATAATTCGATCAACTGCAAAGAAGTGAAAATATTAGTGTTTCCATGTATAATGATAAAGGAAATACTACTTGCCTGAATCAAAATCGTCGAATGTGATGAATGCAAAACCACGTAGTTTTCCTTCAAAAAGGATAAAATACATTGCGAATGTAACAAAAAAGCAGAGTGAATAAGCTTACCATCTTTATCTTTCATGATCGAACAATCGATAATATTCCCATATTGATTAAAATGATTTTTCAGTTGTTCCTCATCCATCTTATCTTTTACGCCTCCAATGAATATCTTTTTAACTGTTAACTCTGAAACATTCGAAAAATTATGTTAGAAATCAATCTAATGAAAACTTTGAACGAAAAATGCTAATAATTGTAATAATAAATAAATAACGTACGGCCTTCTGGACGAGATGCTTCATCTCTGGGCATAGCTCTTTTTGGTTCTGTTTGACGTCCATCGATCAGATGAGGACGTTGAGACATTAAATCATCGACCATTGAACGTTCTCGAAATGTGACAAAGCCAAATCCTCTCGATGTGCCGCTTCGATCACGCATAATAACACAGTCGGTAATATCTCCAAATTTCTCACAATATGATCTTAATGTATCATCCGTGGTACTGAAAAGATTATCGAAAAGTATATGAATATGTATGAACAATAGACATTACTCACGAGTAAGATAAACCTCCAATAAAAACTTTTCGAAATTGTTCATCTGATGTAGTTGAAGAATTGGGTGATGCCATCTAAATAATTACATTCACACAATGAGTTTTTCATGCAACATTTATTTAACAGTATTGCACTCACAATTTAGACTCACGGTATGGGATTAACTAAAATCAAACTACTATGACCGTACACGTAATAAATGAACTACTATATCTGAAAGAAGTCAAACAATGAGTATTCGACAAAGTTTAGCAATAAGAATATGAGGACGAAAAGACGGACAATTGTTATGTTATTTTAAGAGATAAGAGAGTAAATCAATAAACTTTTTGTCTTTTAAGTTTTGTGTGGATCATAAATGAGACGATACATCTGAAAATGTAAAATTTTTTGTTTGTCACACCACAGTCAAATATCGTAACACAATATCAAATTTGCACGAAAGAAAAAACACACCTACTCAATACCACAATGTTTGCCGAACAAAAATTCTAAGGAGATCTAATGTTCACTTGTATCGTTCACATATTGTACTACAACGTCATTTCTCAAACAAATCAATACAGTTCTATGGATAAGTTATAGTAAAAACTTGTATCGAATATTTGACAAAGCGCCATGAAAAAAGATACGATATTGTTTATTAAATATCGATTCTCATTGCAAACAAGGAGAAAAGGACAGATTAAAAATTAAAAATTTCAAAACTAAGAGTCAAAAATTTGTTATCTAACAGCATTGGAACGAACAACGAAAATAAAAAATCAAAGAATAAGCAAACACATAGTATTGCGTTTTGGAACTAAATGCATCAAGAAAAAGTTCCCTAATCATCGTTAGATACAATAAAAATAAAACCTAACATATTTCACTTAACACTGTTAGCAGAAATAAGTATTTTTTATACTAAATAAAAATAAAATATTGTTTACACAGTCAGAAAACTGTTAATTCATATTTTAAAACTAAATAAGTAATGATTATTTCGATATGATTATTTTATCGTTTTTTCTTAACTTTTCATTGCTATCATCTGTTAAAAGACATTACTAGTATCGTTTATTCAGAAAACATTGATAAATGTGAATAATATTTGTATGAAGAACTCAATTAAAATTCATTATCATTTTATTTAATAATATAGAAGGTTTCAACTTGAAAGTGGCTGATGATGAGTCTAATCTGAGTTAAAAGCTGCTATATTATTAAATAAAATGATAATGAATTTTAGTTGAGTTCTTCGTACAAATATTATTCATTATTAAAGATACTTCTATTTTGTCATAAGTATCGTGTTTCGTTTGTTTATTGCCGATAAAACGTCGATTTTTGAGTTATGTTAGATGACGTACGAGTCGTCACAAGTAATTCTGCTCTCTTTTTTTTTATTGTTTATTTGTTCTAATTATTCTATTTGATACATCAATTAAATCTGTCGTTAAACATTTATGATGAGATCATAAATAATCTTATTTTGAACGTATATTTTTATTTGCTATTATAATATATTGCGTTCGAAAAGCATTACCTTATTTCGATTTAAGAATCAATTTTTGACACATTTTAACCTATAGCACAAAAATAATAATACACACGTGTTATTGTTACTTTTATAATATTTTAAAAGTTCGAGATAAGCAAAAGAAATCATTCTACTGCATGAAATATTATGACAATGCCAGAGTTTGCGTAACTCTGCTGTTTCGTCAAAGATATTTGATACAACCAGTTGAAATGATTACTATATCGTAGACTTTACGTATTTTTAACATGAAATAGGATAAGAATATTCAATAGTCACCCATTTGAAAATTTATAAACTAATTATTGTCTATTACTTCTTTGAATTAATTCTTCTTCCAAGTATGTTTTCTGCTATAATAGTGGCTGTTGTTGTTCTCTTTTAAACGAAGATAATACATCATTTTTCATACGATGGATCGAAGGTGGTTTTAGTTCTTATTCACACTATATTTCGTAGTTGTTCGATAACGTGATTTTGTATTTTTGAATGTAGACTTCAGTCAAATTAATGATAGATGATATATCTTGTACAACGTTTTAAACGCATATTTCAACACTTCTAAGGTATATTGTTTTATTTTTGTCAATATTCGTTCATGGATCTAGTTGAATACTTGCTCAAATATAATGTCACTGATATCTTTGTAATATCAATTAATAAATCTTTGATACAAATAGACTTTCAGTTAAGACTGGCTAATGCTCATATAAACTGAAAGATATATTATTATGGTAATATAAGTCTTGCTTCGAAATTTTTATTGTTAGTTGAATAAAATCGACAATCAAGAAATTCGAAATCCACGGTGTCATTTGCTGTTGGAGAAACAAAATCTTAAATGGTAAAGACAATGTTATGCTACTTGCACTAAAAACGCGGTGAACTTTATTTGGAAAGAATCAGTGTTTCTAATGGTTGGTGATCCCTGGAAGAAAGAAGTAGTCTTACAAATACAAAAGTTACTTCGACCACTTTATGTTTTAGAGCAGTGATCAATTTCATTTCCATTAAGAATGTCATTAGAAACGCTGGAAAGAGTGGTAAGCATACCTGAAGCAAAGTAAGAGATCTAATATTCGATTGTACGAACGGCTAGTGAGAAAACCGTCACATTTTGCGTACTACACTTAGGCAGTAGACCTTTGTCGAGCGTCAGTTAAACACAATTCAGTTTGAGGCATAGAATGGAAGAGACCTAGAACTTTATTTAGGATACAGAGTAAGGATTGAAAGTACACCCATCTGAAGTTCTTTCGTACTTCAGTCAGTGATATTTCTCATGACTTTTTCTAAGAAAGGAGGAATCGAGAGAAAAAAGATTTTGCTTTTCAATTTTTTTTTCTTTGCACAACTCTCAGATGATATTAATACGCAGTCATCTCTTAAAATTTAATGAATTGGCATCGCGTTTGGGACCATTATTTGACACTATTCTTGACATCATTCTTTTCGTTTGACACCATTCTTTCTTTATCTTCGTTCTTACTTGTATCCGAATGCTGACGAGACAATCTAGCACCACCTTTTAATTTCAAGGCTAGTGTTCGATTAACTTTTCAGGCATAATGTCAAATTGATTCATCAGAATCATAAACATTTTTTTTTTTCTGATGACCAAGGAAAATCACAATGTCATCGTCATAAAATAGGAAAATCACCGTTTTAACAGCATTTGTATAGCATATATGTGTACATTTTTCTAGAGTTCAAAAAATTATACGCGTTAGAGAAAAAATTTCTTATTATCAGCATTTATCTGGGCTTTTATTGAAAATCATTATTGACCAATAGAAAACCATCAATGTCCTCTACACATCTATTGTTGCAAAGTTAGCTTTTAAGATGCGGATAATGAAGAAAAAGAAAATAATTCTGTTAAATTGTTTATACTTCTACCTTGTATGCTCTATGTGAACCTATTTAACTAGTGAGAATGAGAGATGAATTTTGGTGAATCTTTATGGCAGCAGTTTTAATGATGGTCGCTAGCAAGGATGTATATAGACAAGATTTGCCTATTAATGTAGATATTCACTGACAGAGACAAAAGATTTCTGTTCCTTGAAGTATTTCAAAGAAAGTTTATTATGAAAATGTGGACCTGATGTGTTTACATAACCTTAATTATACAGTTTATCGAACAGATTGGTAGGACTTTTTTTAATGACACAATAAGATTTGCACATAACGATTGAAACTTGATGTAGTTATCTAATAACACATTTTGTTATCATATTCTATTCTGTTAATGGCAGTCATTTCACATTCTTCGACCGAGCGATTGTTTTCAACAAATTTATTTCGATGTAGTGATTTTGATGGTTACAAATCATTCTTAAATTGACTTCCTATTCTGTTGCATCCAGTTACTGTCTTTCGGTCTAACGTGACAGTATTTCATTACGTAAAACTTTCATTTGTTATTCTTTGTATGTGTGCATGTGATGTCTAATTCTAAAATTTCCTGTTTTGAACTAAAGAAATTTCTACGTAATATCTAATATATAAAACCATTTCTGATCAAGTATCTGAATCTTATTCCAACACGCATGAAGTTTGTGAACCGTACGGTAGAAATATAGACTATTACGTTTATAATGGTATCAAAGATAATTAGTAACATTTATTGAGTTTAACGGCAATGTAAGAATAAAAATTTAAGAACTAATGCAGTTAACATATTTAATCTAATTTTCAAGGGTAAAAACATATTATACACTGTTGTTTTTAAAATTACAAATCATGAATTCATTGATTGATAATTACTGTTTTAAATAACTAGTGCACGCTTTCATATGATTGGATATTCAGTTGAATTTAAAAAGGTTCGAACGAGATTGGTGGGTGATATAGTTATTGTCATGGGCAGGTCGCAAAACTTTTACTAGGGGAGTCAATAAACTTTCTAGAGTGGTACATGCAGAAACGTACTTCCCAGAGACGTATGTAATTTTACAATCAAACACTGCTCTTTTTTTTACTTCGAATTTCAAGAAAATACACTGCTGTGAGATACGATTCTCCAGAGGGCAATAACTGCTTAATATTTCTGATAATTCTTGGTACTTTTCTCTAGGAGGGGCAATTGGCCCACCAATGGTTATTGTTGAGTCAGGCGAACAAAGTACACTGTAATCTTGAATTATTTTCAATTTTATAGAAAATCGCCTATAAAATCCCTGAGGATTTTCAAACTTATAGAAAATCCTCACCGATTTTCCAACTTTATAAATGTTGATTTTCAAGATTCTTGATAATCGACTCCATTTTCTATAAATTTGATTTTCAAGAATCTGGAAAATCAAGGAGGATTTTCAGATTTATGGAAAATCGATGGATTTTCTATAAATAATTTTCAACATTCAGATCGATATTCAGATTAGTAGAAAATCAAAGAGGATTTTCTATAAGTAATTGCCACGATTGATGACATACTCATTCACCTTTTTTGTGTTGCAAAGATATCGCTATATGTAGCTACACAGAATTTTTGTGGTAATATTTCTAGAATTGTTCTAGTGTACTTCTAAACTGTAATCTTGTAAATTA